AAAAAATGGCGCAAAGGAGTTTACTTGTACACAACCCAGAAGAAACTGTGGTCAGTCTAGTGACATTTTCGTTTCCAGCGTACAAGACCTGTAAGCAGATCTTGTATAGAATGTTTTTTCTAACTGTACAGTTCAACAACAACTTGTTTGTAAAGGAATCAGTGGTAAAGTACCTGAGGTTGATTGTGGATCGCAGTCTTTTCTGGCAGTGCATTGATTGATAAAATGCAACGAGCTTTGTCGGTGATGCACTGATTGAAGAGGTTATGCGTTGGTTCAAAAGTGCTGAAAGGCTAATCAAATTCTGCATCCTGCCGCTCTTGCTCTCCGCTGCACCGGTTTGCTTCTGCAGTCTCCGGAGGAAACAATCGGCTCGCATCCAGAACGTTTGGAATTACTTGGCTGACTCTGTAACTGGAGCGCTGACGAGTTTCGGTCCATCGTTGCTACATACTTGATAAAGTAACCGGTTGCTCTCTCTGCACTTCTGTTCTAACCTACCAGACTCATTCACTGTACCAATCTAACTCACCAGCGGTGCCTTTCGAAGCAGCACAAAATCCATGTACGTTCCTTGCAGATGCCGGAATGAGGCTTACTCTAGGTCAGTCAATCTTTCAGTTTGCTGTCTGATTTCTGATCAGTCTCAAGAAACAGTAATTGTCATTTTGGACTAGACTCTGATCAGGTTGATATGAATCCATTTTCGTTGTTGGTTTAATTGTTTAATACTTGTTCATTGTTATATTCAGGGTTTTGGAAATCTATCGTGTGCCGTTGACAGCATTTAAGTAAATTTCACATGCTGACTGACAGGCGTGCAAGACGGAAGAAGATGTAAGATGCTAATCGAATTCCCTAAGGATAATCAAATATCAAGGAATCAGAATCGTATAACAGCTTCACATTCTCTTTCATATAATATGGACCTAAAAATTTTCCCAGGAGACTGGAAGTGTGACGTACATGTCGCTATATTGAAGGGGGGACTGGCGATCAAGTATTCCAACTATCGTGGTGTCACACTACTGTCAACTCCTGAGAAACTGTTTCTCTTGAATTTTTCTGGAAAGGTGAAGATAGTTGATACGAAGCTACGATATTTGATGATAATGAACGCGGTTGAAATCATACAGGCTTCCGATCAGGATGTTGTAACAAAACTTTAATTCATAGACTCTGAGTTTGCAGATTATTCCAGCTGCCCCGGTTTGTCATTTTTCTCGACTTCAAGACCGTCTGATTCGATATATTATTCAACGATTTTAAAAATTCATAAAATTCAAGGGGACTTCGTTTTCAGTTAGAATAAAACATGTGCGGAAATCATTCCTGCTATTAAGGTGTAAGGATGACTAACTAATTGATTCCATATTAATGGAATTACCAGAGACACTGCATTTTTCTTTTTCAGTTCAGCATTTTTCTCCTCTGAACAGCGCTGACTCTGACAGAAATGTTCGTCTTATTCTAGAAGGATATCCACCGAGGTATCTTGCTGGTCTGGAGTACGTGATTGGTATTGTCATGGTTTGTATTGTACAAATCAGGCCTCATCACCTTCTGCCATCTTCCTTAACACCCGGGGAGGTAGAAAGTCACGATTGTCCAACCAGCACAGCATATCTGTCAGGGATGAAGCGATGCTAGAAGTTATTCTATTTGAGTTTTTTTTTAAACACTTTATGTAATCTCTATCATCTTCACCAACATCACCATCTGGTAAGAATTAAATTAGAGGGTGTCGTTGTGCCCAGTGCCTTTGGTAAATTGTGGGGTGTGAAGGGTTATCCTTTCCATAAAACTCGGCGTTTTCCATTCATCTGCCAAGTCGGTATTTCACTCATCATGTACACTGTCGTTCTAGGGAAGCACCATGAACGACGGTGCAGCGGCGTGATATTGGCATATAATGAAAGTTAAATGGCGTGACCATGAAGGTCATTATTTTGTTCTCAACAGAAGTGAAAATTATCAAACGGAGGTTGACTCTGTTGGGCAAATTGTTTGGGCATTAAATATGTATTCTAGCACATGTAATTCTCGTGTGAGAGCCGAAACATGAC